TTATCTCCACACAGGTGCCACTCAAAGCATTATTCACCGAGATGTCAAGACAACAAACATTCTGTTGGATGAAAATTTCGTGGCCAAAGTTGCTGATTTTGGCCTCTCAAAAACGGGCCCAGCTCTTGATCAGACCCATGTGAGCACAGCTGTTAAGGGTAGCTTTGGTTACCTTGATCCTGAGTACTTCAGAAGGCAACAACTCACAGAGAAGTCAGATGTGTATTCATTTGGAGTGGTTCTAATGGAAGTTCTCTGCACTAGACCAGCTCTAAACCCTGTTCTCCCTAGGGAACAAGTCAATATAGCAGAGTGGGCAATGACCTGGCAGAAGAAGGGCATGTTGGATCAAATCATGGACTCCAATCTAGCAGGTAAGGTGAATCCAGCTTCTCTCAAGAAATTTGGGGAGACAGCTGAGAAATGCCTTGCAGAGCATGGAGTTGACAGGCCATCAATGGGAGACGTCTTGTGGAATCTTGAGTATGCTCTTCAGCTTGAGGAGACGTCATCTGCCCTCATGGAACCTGAAGATAACAGTACAAACCATATCCCAGGCATTCCATTGACGCCACTCGAACCATTCGATAACAGCACAAGTATAATTGATGGAGGGAATTCTGGAACAGAAGATGATGCCGAAGATGTGGCCACTAGTGCTGTATTTTCTCAGCTAGTAAATCCTCGTGGAAGATAGAGAAGCGAAGGCTTCCATACATTCCTGGACAAAGGACATTCTGGTGAAGATTCTGGGGAATGTTCCCGGATAAATGTGAAGATATGAACTGTTTCTTGTTACGTTATTCAAATTTTCTTCCATAGCTTGTAATATAGTTGAGTGATGCGTGGGAATCAATCCACCAGAAACTGCACGGTACCATAGGGGTTCTATTATTGTCTTTATCTAAAATTCTTCTGGCTTCCAGCTGCCATGCTATTTATTTTTCACACAATTACTGGATATTCAATGTGTTGGGTTTTACAATTTTTATTTATATTCACAGATTGATTATAGAAACAAGGCACAGGTCACTGTCTCAGTATTCTGATATACTTGCTATGCTAGCTTGGATTTGTGATGTCTTATATTTCTGATATGCTACTACGTTACAGAGAACAAAACAAATTTCTCTCCAGGTAGTAAGACATGATTTGTGGGAGCTCATTCCCAACAATGAGATTCAGCCTGTACTCCAAAGCTTTCATTTTCTAGTTCTTGTGATCTGGAAAGTACTATATAAATCTTCTCATTAGTAAATTGTGCGTTTTACATAGCATTCGTTTTGATCACCACAATGTCTAGCTATTTCAGCAGTTTATCCACTTCCTTACCGTGGTCATTATGGAGAACAAACCGATTGACTCCCAGCAACTTAGAGACAGGCCACCTTCTGTTCAGTACAAAAAAAAAAAAAAAAAGAGAAAGAAAGAAGAGCTTTGTCTTTGTAAAAAAAACCTCTGGGAAAGCAATTGCTGCACAATCGAATAACCTCTGGGAAAGCAATTGCTGCACAATCACTGAACACTCTTCTGGTCTTCGAATATTTTTTTGTAATTAAGGAAAAACTAAGACTTTGGATGGAACTGGGCTCCAGCGAACATCATTCCAGAAGAAATGGTCAGACGGGATGGGTTGCAAAAGGGTCTGTATTTAGAACTGTGATTATAAGAGTATTTAGAATTGTAATAGTGGTAGTGGTATAAAGTATTTTTTATTTAGAAATATATTAAAATAATTTTTTTTATTTTTTTAAAATTATTTTAGATATCAATAATTCAAAATTATCTAAAAATATTTAAAAAATTATTTTAAATAAAAAAATTTAAAATTTAGAAAAACACGATTCACACTCATTTGTAAACCAACTCTAAATCTTATCCCGTGGAGATTTTCCGCATTTGCTGGCCCAAGGTTGAATGCTTTCGATCCTGATATTCTTTGAAGGAGAAAGTTTTACAAATGACCTGATTCTCGATCATGAGAACTGGTCAGATAGAATGGGATTCAGATATTTATACACAATTTAATTTTTTTTTTATTGAAATGAATTAGCTCTCACTACTCATAGTTTTTTCTTTTCTTTTTGTCCCTTGGAAATGGAGTCCGAATTGTTGGCAATAAAGATTTTTCTTTGGACATCGTAGCTTGCAAATCAAGGCAGCCCACATGACTCTTCCCTACTTTCCAAACAAGATCCTCCTTTCAGATTTATTGTGATGCTATGGATCTTCGCAAAGTCTTTGATATCTTCGATATATGCTCATTAATCTTAACCATATTAAAGAAGACATTAAATGCCTTTCCGATTCCTATCTTTTGATTTATATTATTTGTTAATATAGTTCTTCAAGTAAAGTTCCAAAAGACTGATTCAACCATAAAAACTTTATATTATTAATTATGATGTAAATGTATGGTTTATATTATTTTTTATATTACATGAAAAGGAATCAAAAGAAACTCTAACTAGGACAATAATCGAGGAGGCAACCGCGGGATGGATCCTCTAATTAACGTAGAAGAGAAATGACAGAAACAGAGACGACTGTCAAGATCGAACCATAAAGCAAATGACTTAATACTGAACTTTTAGAATAAAGATTTGAAAAGAACTAGCAAAAATGACAGAACAAATTTCATAATAAAATTGGAAATCATTGTTTTGTAGCAGACCATAATCCTCATGAAACTCTTACCAAATAAGTTTCAGTTATTCCGGGAAGGAGTTGAAACTTCTGGTGTTATTTTTGCACATGACAGCTATTCCCTCTCACTTCCTGCAAACTATTCCGTGTCCACTGCTGGAACCTCCGGTGCAATCAAGCTTGCCAAAATCCATCAGAAGAGTGTCCTTTTGGTTCAAAACCCCAGCTGGAGAGAACACACAAGCGCCACAATCGGCAGAGAGAAGAGATGATGTCCTAAACATTTCCTCTCCTCCCACAACTGGCATTGCGACTCCTGGCTTCGCCGGGTTCTTGAAATCAGGCTGGTAAGTCCTCCCAATTACCCCTTCAACTTTCGGAGATAGACCAAAGAACTGGAATTGAACCTCTAAGTGAGCAAAACAGTCATCGGAAGGTATCTGATAGTTATGAATCCTGTCATCTTCTTTGGTTACTGGCACAACATTGATTGAGATCTCTGCAACCTCCGGGAGAATGACTAGGACACTGTTCTTGCTCGATGTTCTCTGTACTTTAATACCACTATCTAGGGATTGCCATGTAGATAACTGACCTTCCGGTATGATTAGATCTTCCCCATTGTGGGAGAATTTTAGATGGTCAACCTCACCATTCCAGGTTGATGCTTCGGTGGCCTCAAGAGAGAAACTGTGCGAGTCGAAGAGGATGCCAAGGGCTTGAATCCAAGTATAGTCCCTGGTTCTGCCTGCTGGCCGAAGGCCAATAAAACGGGCATTGATTTGTAGGTTGAGATCAGATACTAAGCTGAAATGTTCATTGCTTTTGCCATGAAAGTAAAAGACAATGCCATCTCCACCAATGAACCGGGGGTCCAAGCATGCTGCTCCAGGTGCATTGCAATTCGGCTTGATACCTATAATCACCAAGAAAATCATTTTGAGTCGTATAACCCACCAAATCAGGAGAGCTGTTCAGATTTATGAAATTATATAACCGTTGTAAATAAACACTTACGTTTGCATTCGGTCTGGCATACGGGCGATTTACAGTTCAAACGACAAACTTTTCTCACTTTGGGGTCGGTTGGATTTGCTTTAGGGCATTCAGCTGGACATGCCAATTTCTTGCGAGCACATGGCCCGGTGATACAGGTCCGATAATCAGCATAGATTTGTGCTGCACCACAGGCAAGTAGCAGAATCATCAACAAGCCATAATTGCTACTCGAAACCTTCATAGCTATTCCCCTTCAATGACCTAAAGATATAATAGATTGTTGGTAACAAACCTGTGCTGATACTTGCCTCTAAAATTCTGATCTCTATATAGATTTTAACAAGTGGGATTTCTTCTCCTTTTTTTTAAAAGGTAAAAAATAAAAATAAAAAAACCAACTTGCAAATTCGATTTCTTGCTTAGCTGGACTTCCATGTGGTTGTTCTTCAAGTACATTTATGGATAGTTAATTTCTGGTCAATGCTTTAGAGCTTAAATCATGATTTAAAATTGTACTCCAAGGTATTCGCCTTTCATCCACACTGAAGAATTCAAAGCCTTTCCAAGGGTGCCGTAGGAGACCTACTGGTTTGAGTTTGCATTAAAGGGAATCAGCATGCTGAGTCCATGTGATAGCCACACCATTTTAGCCTGGTAAACCGCTATGAATTCCTGTTTTTGCGCTGCTGCATGTTCCTTGATAGCGTTCCCTGGCTAATTACAGAGTACATACTCTCTGTTCAATTTCAACATCATTTTTTTATTCCCACTTGCGGCATTGCAGGTTTTCATTCCAGACATGATCCTTGACTATCAAACTCTTTCTCCTCCTCAAGAATCGAAGTCCTCACAATCGCCTTTGAAAAATAGAGCAGGGTCATCCCAGGAGCAATATCTGGCCCATAACCAGTAACCATTGGAGTCTAGAAAGTGAAAATGGGGATTGTTTTTATCCCTTGTGAAGTGAGCAAGTAAGCTTCTGACAGTGACTCTTGAAAGAGAGTAAAAGTACGATGAAATTCCTATCAAGTGGTACAACTACAAACTAAGGATTAGTACTGTAACTTTATTGATAATAGGTTAAATGGGCACTATTCTCATTTGTTTGTTTCGGCATGCAAAACCGACAGATACTCCAAGTTGCTGTCCCATGTTAATTGGAAATGTCATCTTAAAGCAACATTTTTAGGAATTCCAGCTTGAACAATCAGAAGCACAACAGTCTATATTCGACATTGTCCAATCCAGTGGTACATTCCCCTTGGATATTTTATCTTGTAGCTCGGTTGGTGAAGTTATCCATCAATCATACATCGATTATTCATTAGTCATTATCCATATTAACCAAGATTCTTAGGACAAGACAAGCATCTGCAGACACATTATTTTTTCCTCCTGCCCAAGAAAAGATGCCATACATGATATGTGCATCCTGCCCTATAAGATTCTCTTATCGCTCATGATTGACATAATTTCCCTAGCTTCTGATAGACACACCCCTATTCCCAAGAATTTTGCGTTTGAGAGTCATGATTAAGGAAGTGAAAACCCAAGTCAATGTTGAGGTTGGAGTGGATGTCTTATGGAAAGCTTTAGCTAAGGATTTGAAGGAAATTCTTCCAAAAATGATGCCAAATTTAGTGAAGGATGCTGATATGCTAGAAGGAGATGGTGGCCTTGGTACAATCTATCTCTTCAACTTTGGTCCTGGTGAGTCCATTTCTTTGGCTTATACTAATCAAATGACTGAACTTAATTTCTTAGTTGGATCATTTAATTTTCTGAATGAATTAAATCAGCAAGTGGAAATCATATATTTGTCTCGTCTCGATGTACCTGTGATGGCAGTAACCGAATTTTTTTTGCATTCGAAATATTATGTCAGGTATAAAAACAGTAACATACCAGAAAGAAAGGGTTTCAGAGTTTGATGAGTCTGTTCATCGAATCGGCCTGGAAGTAATAGAAGGAGGCCATCTGGATCATGGGTTTTCTCATCACAAGGCAACTTTCCAGCTTACTTCAACCGGAGAGCAGGAGAGTCTAATTAATGTCAAGATCTCGTATGAGTCTGCAACAGAAGAAGATATCATGCCACCAAATACACCATCGTCAACATTACTTTTCATCAAGAACCTGGAAAATTATTTGGTGCATGGTGCACCTTAGATCATTTTTATTACCCGGGTTTCTTCTCTTTTGAGTCCTTCCCTGTTACTGTAATGAAGGGCAGAGAATTTCATTTTGATGCATTGATCTTCAGTAATTTTTGAAGTAATAAAGTTTCCATCTCATTGAATTAACAATAACAAGTACATAGACACGCACAGAACATCTTTCCACTTCGATAACATCACCTACGAAATATTACTAGCACATGTATGACAAAAGACAAATGATTTTACTGCAAGTCAATATCATTGTCGTTTTAAAGTAGTAGAGTGCCATAGTTTGTCAACGATGGTAACCAACCCAAATCATGACACACCAAACATAACATATACATAACAGTGAATAGCAAGAAACGCCTTTGCGATACAAATACTGGCAAACAGCTCCTGACAGCCGACATTACTTAATTAAGTCTGAAGCTAGGTACGGTTCTATTGTTTTTCATTAGGAGAGCCACAAATTGCAGTATTTATTTCCTGCAAACGATGCCATATCCTGCAGAAGCCCCCTTGGTTCATTCTAGAGTGCCATAGTTCATGACTGAGGAGGTTTGTTGGTTTGAACCACTTTCTGGAGAGAATATGCAGGAATTGAAATCAGCAGAGAAAAGGAATGTGGTTCTGTAATTGTTTTCACATCCCAAAATTGGCATTGCCACACCAGGCTTTGCAGGGTTCTCAAAATTAGGCCTGTTAGTCCTGCCAAGTGTTAGGATACCGGCATGCAAACCCGACAAGACAAAAGGTAAGGGACAAGATAAAATGAGAAATGACACATAAGAATTTACGTGGTTCACCCAATTTGGCTACGTCCACGAGCAAGTATAGAAGGATTTTACTAAGTAATGTGGGAATACAACTTCTCTCTAATAATAGGAGAACAACAAAAATCTCTCTATTATTAGGAGAAAACACCTCACTTACTATCTCACAAATACCTCACAATTTTGTGGGATTACTCTCTTCTTACCCTCTCTTCTTTCTCTCTTATGGTGTGTCTATAATGCTTGAATGCATTGCCTATTTATAAGCTAGCATCCATGCAAAAGACAAGAGGTTGGGCAAATAGCACCAATTTGGTGCATACAATAATCTTGAACAACATCATTGCCAATGCTATTTTGATTATCAACCTGATGAACATATTTAGCATTGATAATGAGAATTGAATGAAAAGAAGATGGTTATATCTTACGCCTGCACTGGGCCGCGCAATGAGGAGAGTTGCAGTCAACATAGCAAACTTTTTTGTTACAGTCATGTGAGTAAGGTGGCGTTTGATATGCCGGAGAATGATGGATTGAACAGGATAGTTGTTTTTTTGGTGAAATTGTTTGGTTTATCGTACATAAATTATTTTTTTATTAAGTCAAGGTTGTATATGTATATTTCTGAGTTTTAAAAATATTTTAAAAAAATTAAATTTTTTTATTTTTTTTACTAGAAATTAATATTTTTTTTTATATTTTTAGATCATTTTAATACGCTGATATCAAAAATAATTTTTTAAAAATAAAAAAAATTATTTTAATAGATTTTCAAGTGAAAAATACTTTAAAAAACAACCATAATCATACTTCCAAATACATTATCAAAATTTTTATCCTATTAAAAGAAGTAAAATAAGCTTGTCTAATTTTCTGGATAAGGATTAATCTAGTTGATCTTGATCAATATAAAAATAAAAATAATTATTATTATAGATTTAAAGCTCAACTAAGGGATAAGGCTCGGGTCATAGGTCAGGTAGATCATTGACTCGAGTCAATATAAAAATAAAAATTATTGTTATTATAGTTTTAATATTCGACTTTGAGGTGTTGATCCGGGGTCAGGTTAAGGTCACTAGTATGAGTTGACAATTGATTCGGGTTAACATAAGGATAAAAAATAGTTATTATTATAGCTTTAAAACTCAACTTGGGGGTCAATTCAAGACTGGATTTGGATCTTAGATTGTGTTGACCACTGATCTGGTTCAATTTAAGGATAAGAATGATTATTATCATAATTTTAAAACTCGACTTGAAGGTCGACCCAAGATTATGCCCGCGTCACAGGTAGGTTAACCATTGATTCGAGTCAACATAATGATAAAAATGATAATTATTATAGTTTTGAAACTTGATTAGGAGTCAACCTGGGGTCAGAACCAGGCTATGACCGGGTTGACTATTGACCCAGGTCAACCTTAGAATAAATGTAGTTATTATCATAATTTTAAAACTCTACTAAGGAGTTGACTTGGGGCTAAGCTCTAGTCATTGGTCAAGTTCTTGGTCCTGGGTTTACTATTGACCTGAATAAAAATAAAAATAAAAATAGTTATTATCATAATTTTAAAACTCAATTAAAGGGTTGATTTATGGTAAGGTCCAAGTCATCGGTCGAGATGGTCATTCCGTGTTGATCTAAAGCAATATAAGAATAAAAATAATTATTATCATAGTTTTAAAATTCAACTCAGGGGTTCGACCTGAGATAAGACTCTAGTTATGGATTGGGAGAGTCAACCCAAGTTAGCCTAATTTTATTTTTCATTTTTAAAACAAAGCAATCTTGTTTTGATAAAAAAATAAAAATAAAAAGTTGATAAATTGTTTTATGTATGTTTATCTCAGGTCAACCATAACTAAATTTTAGTAAGCTGAGTCTCATCTAATATCTACTAATTATCTAGTCTAATCTAAAGCAAACCAAACATATAATAAAATATTTATTTATTCAGTTTTATTCAATCCAATCCAATCCAAGTGTTATAGCAAGCTACCTTACAGCACCGGGTTCCTGCAGGTGCTGCAGTTAAAATATGGTTATGTTGCTTCTACTTATATGTTAATGGAATGATTCGTGCATGTTTGATTTGGAGATATAGTGATTTATTTTTAAAACACATCTCTTTTAAAGCACAAACTATACCTTCAAAAATTAAAAATACATAACCAAAAAAACCCAAGCTACCCCCAAACCAAACATTAATGGAACTGCTACTTCAGTTAATGATATAGGAAAGAAAACCAAAATAGGCCATGTGATGCTAGAACTCAACTTCTCTTGATGCTATAAGAAAACCAAAACAGGCCAAGTGGTGCAAGAACTCAACTTCTCTTGTTGCTATATATAGAATTTAACAAGCTGCAGATGATCAACTGTTACGATTGGTAATTAAGTTTCTCTTTTGATCTTTAAACTCCTTTTCAGCTTGTAAATCAATCTACACTAGGCTCGTGTTTGAAGGATGAACAATGACTTAGTTGGCTCGAAGGCGATTAACTAACACCTTCCATGCGCAAACTGTAGTTGCCTCAGGCTTAGTTGACGCGAAGGCGATTAACCAGTAACTAATGCCTTCCATGTGCAAACTGTTGCCTCACCGGAGGAGGCACCGCGCGCAATGACAGGAATCGGTAACTTGAGACTGTTAAAGTTAGACTTCATCATCAAGGATGGTGCTGTTCAGTGAGAAGGTATAGGCACCAGATAAGGCCTTTAATTTGTATGTTTAATGCTTAGATCTTGGTTAACAGCACCATTCAGCCAACCTGAAAGCTGGTCCATGTTCAGTTCTTTCGATGGATACTAAGCTACATATTTTTGTGTTGTTACTTTGTTCTGCCTTTCGTGCAACAATTTGCGCTGATTAGAGTCTAATCCCTCCACCGCCAATGATTTATTTATTTATTTATTTAATGATAGTGAGCATCTTTGAATCAGCTTATATAATATTATTGAAGATTATAAGTCTTCTTTCTTAACGATCTTGATGCATGAGGTTTTAGAGAAACTAGGGTGTTAGAGTGGGTTTGTTGCAATTAGAACCTATGAAATGAATAGCAATAGCCTAAGAAGAAGCTTATAGAGGTATTTTTAAAAGTTTTTTTATTTAAAAATATATTTAAATAATATTTTTTATTTAAAAATAATTTTAAAATTAACATATCAAAATAATTCAAAATTATAAAACATTAATTCTAAAAAAAACTTAAATTTTCATGAAATGCTATTTAAAACTCAATTTCAAATGACATCCAGATATTTTAAATGATTTATTTAAAAAAATTATTGTAGTTCTTGATTTAATTATTGGATTTTATTTAAATTTTACTACAAAATTTAACAAGATATTTTATAGTGGGTTAGTTGCCATTTCTTTTTAGCTTTAATATTTGACCAATTTAATTTTGTGGTTTTTGGTTTTTCATTTCTCCTGTTTGCTTTCGATTTTCCTTTCCTTTTCTACAGGAGGTCGGCGAGGGATCTATTTAAACTATTGTAAGTCTTTTTTTAATGGTTATTTGTAAGCTCTGATTTTTATGTATTTCTATTTTTGTTAACCTAATCTAATTAGGTTCAAGATATGTCATGTCTTAAAAGAACAACCTTCATATCAACATAGTATATTTAGAAATTTTAAAAATTCTTCTAAATGTCGTCTCCAAGGTTTTAACCTATAAGATCAAAGAAGAAAGCATATGTCCTCGAGCACCTTAGAGTTAACTCTACCAATAATTGGATATATAAGAAATAGTTGTAGGAGGGCTTGAGAAAATGTTAAAGAAATAAAAATAATAATAATATAAATTCTTATAAACAAAATAAATTCTGATAAGTATTAAGTCATTTAGATTTTAATTTGTAAATGTTTAAGAAATAAAAAAAATAAAAGAAAAATATTTTTATTTCTTTAAAAAATATTTGTTAATAAATCTTTAAATATATCCATGTCCTATATATTTTAAAAAATCTTATAGGTTAGAATCTCTTCTCTTTTTTTTTTTCTATCCCTAAAAAGAAAAGGATATTTTATGGGTGTAGATGAACGAGTAAAATTTCAGCTGTTTCAAATTCTTATAAAAGATACACGTTTTAATTTGAACTCGAGACCTGTTGTGCTATCCCTGAAAAGGATATTTTATGGGTGTAGATGAGCGAGTAAAATTTCAGCTCTTTCAAACTCTTATAAAAGATACACATTTTAATTTGAACTCGAGACCTGTTGTGCAGATCTCAAATTTTTCACCATTATGCTATGTTTTCGAGAATTTATTTTTTCACAATTTAAAAGTTAAAATCTCATATTTTTTATCTAAAAAGATAATTTTTTTTATTTCCTATATATTTTTTAGATTTTA